CGCTGATTGGCTCCCGTGGAGGCGCCCTCCCGCAGAGCCTTCTGGGAGTTGTAGTTCGCCGTCCCCAGCCATGGGATTGGAGTGATCCCAATCCCAAAGACACCCCCCACGCGCCACCCTCCCCTGCAGCAGGAAGAGCTGGGATCTCCCTCCAAAGCACCCCAGGTTTTCCCTGGTTGTTCCCCTCTTTAGTCGTTCCCCCATCACAGCAGGAGACACCCTGCCCCCCGGGAATCGGAGGAAAGTTTATTGGGAACAATTGTCTGTCTGCCCGAACAATATCTCTGTCATACCCCAGTCTAATTAATTAGGGGAGAGCAGTTAAAAGGAGAGCACCTGCTGGCCGATGGGAAGGGGCTCCTGAAGCAGATACCAACGCTGAAGCCGTGGCCACAAGGAGAAGTGAGGATGAAATCCTGGATCTGAGACTCGAGCACAAATGTCTGCTTCCTGCCCTGGAGAAGGGGCCAAAGGAGAAAACAACAGTTAACTTTAACCTGTGCCAAGCAATACCAGCAAGTCTTGGGTGCTCCTGCTTAGGAATCCCTCTCTCATCTGGTTATTCCACCACAAAGTTGCCAGATCACCTATGAAGAAAAACCTGGTGCTCATTTAAAGCAGCAACAAGTCTGAAAACGAGTCTCAAATCTTGCATGACCAACCTCTTCTAAAAACAGTCCTTGGCAAAAGTGGCGGGGACGGCTCATCCGCCTGCTGCGTGAGCTCTGCAGCTGCCGCGCCATTCCTGCGCCATTCCCAGATGGACTAATTCTCCCTGGCATGGTACCACCGGCAGAGTGAGCACAGAAACCTCCCCGCCAGACCCCAAAGCATCACAGGACCTGTGAGCTTACTGCAGCAAAAGGGGAAAAAAAAAAAAAGAAAAAAGAAAAAAAAGATTCTGAAGACCTTGATAACACCAAGCGTTTGGGAAGAGAATCTTCTAAGTGATAAATGGAGAAACCCCGCAATGACAATCCTGAAAACCAAAGCTCATCCCAGCGCCAATGAGGGAGAGCCCCAGAGCTCCGTAAGGAAGTAAGGAAAACCCCGCTGTGCGTGTGCGGTGCGTGAGCAGAGCGCGGCCTCGCAGCCAGGCTCCCGCACGGCAAGGCAGGACGCAGAGCGCTGCCGGCGCCCGATCCCGGCCCAGGACAGGAGGGAGGAGGCAGCGGCTCTGACGGTGGCACCACAGGGAAGCGCTCGATAAAACCGATTTGTGAAGAGAAAGAAACAAAAAGGCAACACCCTGAGCCGCTGCCTCCGCTGATCCCCACGGCTCCCGACGCCGATGCTCCTGGCGTCGTTTTCGCCGCCTTATCTACCAGGAGAAGCCTCCTGTTAGCGGAGCAAAGCTGAGAACATGCTACCACAAAACCCTTCCTACCAAATCTCATTGCTCTTGTGAAAACCATTTTGTCTGAGAAGAGCTGCTAAGGCAGAAAAGCATAGCAGCCTGGAAGCAGACGGAGCTACCTTCCAAAGAGAAGTCTGGGGCCAGAAAAAAGGTAAAGGAAGTTTGTCAGGGTGACTTTTCCTGAACTAACTTTATTGCTTTTTTTTGTCAGTGTAGCTGTTGCATTTGCAGTTCACATCCTATGCTGTTGTAGAATTAGCTCCACGTCAAAGCAAATCCCAAGTTAAACGCAGAAACTGGAGCATCCAGTAGGTTGTAACAAGATATTTTGGAGATAGCAAGCCTGGAAGTTAAAAGTTCCTCTCAAATCTTGTTTAGCAGAAGCTGAGGATTAACCAGCTGCTAATGAGAAACTGAGTATGCAGAATCAGAGCAAAACATCTCGGTTCCTCAAATGGGCTTCAGAGGAAAACCCAAAGGCTCCAAGCAGAGCTTGGAGCGTGCGGGGTGGCATCTAGGGAGGCTCCAAACTTATCTGGTCCAAGTGTGGGAGACAAGAGAAACCCTCTGTACAGGGGCACAAAGAACATCACTGCAGGCCCCCATCACAGCCCTTACCTCCCACACGGGGCTGCACTGCTCCAGCCCATTTTTTGTTTTCAAAAACGTGTTTTTCCAATTCCTTCCTTAGCCCACTGGCAGTTTTCAGAGTTTTTCCCAGGCCACTACTCACCCAAACCAACAAACTGTTAATTAAACAGAGATTAATGGCAACAGGGCACCACACAGTCTTGCAGACTAGTTTGGAAATCGCCACGTAACACCTACTTATTTTCAACTCCATCGCTGGCTAATCATTTTCAGTCTGTATAGCTCAAATTGCAATCTGAGAGTCCATGCAATTCAAACACAATAATCTAAATTGAATCATCACATCACAGTCAAGGATAATAGTGAGACTCTTTAAGATGTTTTGTAATCACTAGCAAGCGTTGCATGCCGAGAGGCAGAGCACTTCACAATCTAAATTACAGATTTTGATGCAGTTTTCCAAGCAGCACGTAATTGTGATATCATCTGCCCTGAAATTTCTTGCCTTTAGCCTGTAAAGATAAAAGTATTATTTACCTTACTACATAGAGTCCTCGGCTTTCATCTTGCATTACACTAAATGCTAATTAATCAGGGCTTTTCCTGTAGCCATCCAAGAGAAACAAAATCCCACACTTGGTTTAACTTGGCTTCCAACACACAAAACCTACCGATCCAGGTGAGTGGATGTTTTGCAGCTCCACATAAAAGGCTCCTCTGTAGTCCAGGTGCTGCAATAGTGGCCGGGAGCTGAAAATGAACATTAAGAAGAATAAACAAGTAATACAAAAAAAAAAAAAAACCCCACCAATGCCAAGAGATGAACAACAGAACCTTGGCTCAGATTCTAAGAAAGCGGCCTCAAAAGGTGGGTAAAGATAGCTGGAAACTGACCTCTACAGAGTGATGCTGAGGAGGAAGCTTCTTCTCTCACTAAGCGTGGTAGGGTGGAACCTTTTTTCACTCCCTGATTTTTTTTGGGGGGGATGGAAGGAAGGTATGTGACCCCGTTTCCCTCCAAAATAACTCCCAATGTGACCAACAGCTTTGGGGAAACGCGTTTCTTCTCCCAGTGCCCGGAGCTGTCCTTACCCTGCATCCGCGGCGCTGCTGCAGGGAGCTGCTGTCTCTTCCTCGCCATCGTCACCGGCCTCGTGGGCTAACGGGAACGCGGCCCGGTGCCTCCGGCAGCTCCTCTCCTGCAAGCAAATGCACGGGTTACATGGGGCTCCTGGATGCCAGCACCAGCACGTCCCCTGTGCCAGCCTCTGCGCCGGCACCCTGCGCGCGTGGGCATCCACCGGGCCGCAGGGCTGCCCGGGCTCCCAGAGCAGCTGCGTTCCTGAAGGTAAAACAGCCCCAGGGCACCTCCTCTGAGGGCTGTGCTACAAGCTAAATTGGGAGGGTTAGGGAAACGCGGGTGAAAGAAAGGAGGATGAAGGGTTTACTGCTCTGCACGCTGCAGCAGCGCGACAGGACGAGCTATAGAGCCTTGAGCAAGAGAACAGGAGAAAAAGTTCACACCAGCTCCAAAGCAAAGCTCTGCTGAGCAGGTGCTTGTGAAGCAGCAGGGCATCGTTTCAGTGCTCAGCACCCCTGCCCAGCCGCGTGAGAGGCCAAACCCGTGCCCTCTGCCAGCTCTCTGCTGCCTTGGAGGCGCCGCCGGCCCCGGCAGCGAACGCTCCCGCGCTGAGAGCCAGAGTCACCGGGGCCCAGGGTGCTGCTCAGGGCGCCAGCAAGGCCCAAAGAGCGGCCGGAGGGAACCGTCCCCGCCGGCGACACCGCAGGAGCCGCATTTATCCTGCCGCCCGCCCAGCCCTGGGCTAAGCCCGCGCGGAGATCACCGTTGCCTTCACACTCCCAGCACATTTATCACCGCAGCTGATAACAAAGAGCACGGACTGACAAACAGATCGTAATTACGGACACAAACAAAGGCGTACAGAAGTAGGCTTTATGAAAGTATTCCAACTTTGTGGCAAATCTCTGCATCAACATGGGCAGGGAGGCAACTAAATGCTCTGCAGCAGCAATTTCAGTTACCAGACTATTTCTTGGATAGACATTTATTACAGGTAGTTTTGTCTGCTCCTATTTCTCAAAGAGTTTAAGGCACAAAAGCCTGAAAAGGGCTTATAACATGTACATAAGTGCTATTATTTTTGCTGTCACTTTTAATGCAACATAATATTAGCTTAAATATATTGCTTGTCCGTCCAGCTTATACAACATCCAGTAGAAAACCGCTTTTCAGATTCGCAACAATTTGTTGCACAATATATTGATTAGATTGCTCTGACCCGTTTTTTTTTTTTTTTCTGCAAAATCTTCATTTTCACCATATTCACTCTGACAAGACAGTGGAAGACACTGTGAAATCTTGGTATCTTAACGAGACCATCAAGAATTGCCCACAACGGAAAGGTAAGATACACAGAATCATATTCAGACAAGGTTGCTGGTAAAAGTGTTTTAAACTGCTTAACCAATGGGGAAATATTTCCTCATCCACAGATGGGAGGCACATCAGCCTGTGCTAGAGACCATCATGCAGAAGGCATTGGTCTTTTGTAGATTTATAACACTTTCTTGTCTCCAAAGTGCTTTTCCAGTAGATTGCTTAAAAACACCAAGCTATAAACTTGCCAGCTCAAGATCACAGTTTAGATTAAGCCAACACAAGCTTTTATCTACATGATTCCCATGCTCAAGTTACAGCAACCTTACCCGGTCACTAGAAAGCTTGAGACATTTTAGTGGTATCTGACATTGACTTTTAAAAAATCACATTTACGAGAGTTGGATCAGATGGCTGAAGCCAGTTAAACGGGCAGGAAAACAGAGAGATGGGCAGGAACCAAAATGCAAAGGGTAACTTTGCTCAAAAGACCAACTTTTTTATTGTACGTTGGAGTAGAGTCTTTCCCCTGTGCCATCTTGCTGAAAGTCTATAAATAACAATTCCCAAGGAGTATTAAGAGTTCGTTCAAGACAAAAGGAATAAAACTGCCGCAGTTCTAACTTCCACCACGAATCGGTTACCATGATGCTCCTCCGACACCCGTCGCGGCCAGGAAGCGCCCCGGTCCTCCTGCGCTCCGAGGAGCAGGGCTGGGTGGAAGGGGCCAAATGTCCAGGGACTGCCAGTGACACTCCATGAGCGCGTCGTAGAGCTCTTCGCTCTGCTCCATAAACTGCTTGTTTGCTTCGTGGATGTCCAACTGGGGCGTCGGGTCTAGAGGGGAGACAAGGGACAAATGGGGTGCGGGTCAAATGAGCTTCAGGAAAACCCAATCCCCCCAAACGCGTGGGTTTTCCTAAGACAAAAGCGGAGCCCGGGGCCTGGCAGCAACAGCCACGGAGCACATTGTGCCACTACCGGCCCACACTCTGCAAAATCGACTTGTTTCCTTCACCAAACCACTCGCAGGATTTAAAGCTCCCCTAATAACCCCCATGATCTGAAGATTAGGTTATCAGATTAGCACAATCACAGAATTCTTGGGTTTTGTAGCAGAAAAAAAAAAGGGGGAGAAAAAGAAAAAAGAAAAAGGAGAATAGCTGGAGCGCTCCACGGGATTAAAATCTGTATTTTCAGAGCTAAGGACATATGAATACAAGCCCCCAGATCCTCTAATGCTCGTGAAGCAGTTAGCTTCAGGTTGAGCAAGGCTTAGACCAGCCCCAGCAAGTGCCCAGTTCGGATGCAGTCGTGTGATACTGCCCTGCATTTTTTTTCCGGCCTTAGATTTATTTAAAGATAAACACATATTTTGTATTGAATTTAAGGGTCAATTTGAGAACAGCTCTAATCGGTGCAAGGGAATTGACAAATGCAGTAAGTAGTTGGAGAAAACTACCTTCCAATGCATCCTCACCAACTTCTTCATACGTCTGCAAGACAAAAAATAACCCCTTAGGACTACAGACACTTGTCTTTCCCCAGAGCATCACCCGCTGAGGACTCCTGTCATACTCTGCCTTCTGCATGTCGTGATGGCAAGAGCAGCCCTTGCGCCAAGCCCGGAGCGCCGCTGCCCACACTCCAAGGGGGAGATCCCACCCAGCTGCCAACAGAGGCACATCTTGATATTCCTGTGGGGCAAGAGGCAGTGACTGCTCTGCCCTACGCTCGGGATCAGGAGCCTCCCTGGCAGGCAGGTTCATTGCCCAGCTACCTGCATGGAGAGGATCCCTCTGCCCGGAGGCCTCTCACCCACCCCGGCCCTGCAACAGCCCACGGAAAAGGCAACAAAACAGGCCAGGGGCTGCGGAGCAGCTTTGCTTCCTCAGCAAGCAGCTACATTAAAACCTCACAACTCGAAAAATAAGATATCACAGAATATGCCCAGCACCTTTTACACCCCGTTTTGTGTTTCTGTGCAAATAGGCCTGAGGTGGGAGCACTTGGTGCTGTCCTACCTGCATTGTGCTCTGCGTGTATCCGTACTGGGGATAACTGTAGCTGTAACTGCCCGTGTTGTGGTCATAGCCCCACTGGGCATAGTAATTGTGATATTGTTGGTAATACTGGTTATAATTATAGTTGTACATCTGATTGTACTCCACTGGTTTCATACGATTACTTCAAAAAATAAAACAAGAGTAGGTTACACATACTGCAGAACACTTACAAAAAGGCAGTGAAATGAAATAGCTTAAGGTTCTATATGGCACATAAACAAGGCTTATTCCAACATGCAAATTTCAGTCTTCAAAATAACTGTTTATTGCTGCTGTTCTTAACATTTGCATAATTTGCAGAAAGAAAGAGGTGCTTTAATTTTAAACCCTTTCCCTGTATTCACTTTCCTCTTCATTAATAAAACTTATTTCACTCTTTAGGAGCAATATAGGATCATTTTCTGGCTTTGGGTAGGAAAGAGTTAGGGAGTACGAGCCTCAATTAAGAAAATCCTGAACCAGTGATCTGGCTTCTAGGGCCTTTTCTTCCTTCTGATAATTAAGATGAAGAAAGTATTCTGCAGCCTCCCGAGACAAGGTGCTGAGTTTTGCTTTATGTGAAGAGATAGACTTAGAGCCTTGTAAAAGAATGGGGGGTTACTAATAATGGACAAAATCTCCTCCCTTTTGCCATTACTATACAGCAGCCTATGCAACAAGTTGTCATCCCCATTTGCACAGAACTGGATAACCTTCAGTGCACATAATTTACAGGGCTTCTGAGGCCAAAAGGACTACACAACAAATCAAAAATAAAAAAAAAGATTTTAAATCGTCTGTAAGTTGGTGAAATTCTCATTCATTGACATAGAGCGGCAGCATTCCCAAAGGATTAGGAATCCCACCTGATTATCTAGATTTGAAATGAGGTGACAAATATCGCTTGAAAATGAAAATATTTCATACACAAAGCTATACCTAATGATGAAATTAAAGAGAAGCAGGAAGAGAGGCACATCAGTCTGCTCCCCACAATACACCCCCTCTTCCTGCTTTTCTCTCCCTTAACCTCCCCCCGCACCTTCTGAGGTCACTGAAATTCTAAATATTATTAAATAGGGAGTAATTTCTATTATTCGTATTACCCTAGTGCTACGAGCCCCAAGTCACACCAGGATCTCATTGTATCAGGTTCTGAACAAACACAGAAAAAAAAGTTAATCCCTGCCCCAAAAGATTTATATTTAGTAGACATTGTAATAGTATTAGCAAGGTAATTGAGGTTGCTATCCAAAAGTCAATAAGCAGATTTAGACAATTCCAATTTAATGCAAAGGCACATACACTTCAAAAGTAATCTTATTTCAATACAGTGTGTGTACAGCTGTGTGCATTTACCATTGTGCATAACTAAAACAATGTAAAACGGTCTTGATTTAAAGTTATCAATTTTTGATTCCTCCGCATTCTGATACTGTGGCTATTCCATTATATTCGTGGGTGTTCCCTCACTCTGTGATGGAAACATCCAGGATACGCATCCAAACCACAACAAGATACTTAGAAACACGTGGGATTTGAACACCTGGCTGCTCTTATACTCACGCTTTCGGTATAGCCACACTCAAGCGCACGGGTTTGGCGCCCAAGCCCACGGCTCCTTGACACTCCGTCAGGGCTCGTTTCTGTTCCAGTTCATCCGTGAATTTCACGAACCCGTAACCTCTGCAGAGATCCAGAACCATTTTATCAAACAAACACCAAAGTCATGCCATCTTTTTATTTCCAAATATTTACAGTGAAACTTATTTTGAAAATGCTCTACCACAAATGAAACATTTTCAGGCATGTCCAAGCTTTTACTGGAGTTTAAATGATTCCCTGATGGAGTGACATTATTTCATTGGAATAATGTAGGTCTACATGTCAGTCTTACTTCTCAAGGGCTTCAGAAATGCAAAATAGATCTTGTGCCAGTGGGTTCCAGGGAACTCTTAGGTGAGCTGGCACAAGACAGGTCGAAACATGTTGAAAGAGGTTGAAACAAAACTTCAATCTCTACTGGGAGGATAAGCTAAATAGTTGCAAGTCAGCACAGGGTTGAAAAGAGAGGGGCCATCATTTATACCTAGAACTGTCCCCCTGCGAAGAGAAACGCTGCTTTTCTGCAGATCACCTGAGAAAAACTTGCCAAACAGATCCTTTTCTCAACAGGAGGATATTCCAGCAGGCTTTCTGTCACACCTAACACGTGCAGCTTTCCCAGCAGCGACCCTGGAAACCGCTCCCGCTTGCTGGGACAGCAGCACCTGCACTGCAGTGCCACAAGCCCTGCACAGCTTGGGGATCCTTCCCAGCAGTGCCAGCAGCGGCGCGTGTTATCCAGCAGTTAACGTTGCTTCCCCCATCCCCAAAGGTCCTTTGTGTGGGATTTTGGTGCTGCAGTGAGTCAGAGCATCCAAGAGAGCAGTGCCAGGATCCCGGGATGGGATGGGCTGCCTCCCGCAGCAGAAAGATCAAAGGCTGAGGTGTGGGAGGGAAAAAGGAATCCGCACGGCGAGGGAATACGGGATGGAAAGGGCTTGTCTACGCGGGGAAGCGAGGGAGCCGAGAGCGAGGGTGTAAATTGACAGCATATTATCTATTCTGTGGGAACTCTTCAGCACAGAGACGCTCTTTGGGAACTGGAATCACCCAGGACCGGAGGAGGTCCACGAGCAGAGCAGCTGCTGCCCTTGAAATGTAACGCGCTGCACGGCAAGATAGTCGAGTCTGTATTTATGTATGTATATATAAAATATATACCGATATAGATTATATATTCCAGCTATATGCAAGCCCAAATCAAAATTCAGATTTGTCTATATGTGAACTATATATAAACTGGAGCAACTAAGCAAGAACCAAACTCTGCATGGCTGGACACTGTTATGGCAGTTTAACTTGCCTCTGCAAGAGCACAGTGACAAATTAAACCAATGCCAGCCAACTTCTAGATCAGCTTTACGTTTCTGCACGCAGGATTACAGCAGCTTCCAAGCCTGGGAGTACCCCAGCATGAGGCACCAGCCTCATGGGCCTAGGCAGAAGGGGCTGGTGGAGCCCTTCTGGAGCCACCACCTGAGCCACGTGGCCCTTCAAGCAGGGCTTTGCTAGACACGTCCACGAGCACCAGCACAGACACCTGCAGTTGCTTCTGCTCTGAGTAACTGCACAAGCCACAAAAACATCCCTGCAACATGTCTTCGTCCCGCCAGAGAAGACACTTGTGCCCGTGCCAGCAAGAGGATTGGAAGTCCCTGTCCCCTCCCTGCTTTCGGAGCCACCAGATTGCTTTCTCCCTAGCTGTGCGTTTAGGCCCTGTCCCCACGGCTCACGCGATGGCCCAGCCTCGTCACCCACCAGCCGGCGCTGAAGCAGCTCCATGAAAACAGGCACTGCTGGGCTCCAGCCTGAGCAGACAGGGCCATGGGGAGGATGAGACTTAGCGAAAGCAGGGAGATCTGCAGCCCTATTTTCAGTCTTAGCACAACGCAGGCATTAAATCGGAATACTGTGCTTCACTGAAAGCATGTTTTGTTTTGAAAACCAGGATGCTGACCCACTGGTCCTTCTCCAGAGAAAAGGCAGTTTCATTTTCTGTTATTGTGCTTAGAAAATGTTTTGCCATCAAGACGACTAGCTTTTAATATCTGTTTTTGGTGAGCTATTTCCAGTGGATGAAAAAGACAGCTAGTAAACACTTGACAGCAAATCACAGCTTTGTTTGCACTACTCTGAAACCAAAAGTAATAAAACTTTGACAGGGTAATATACTCGATAGCCTAAAGATTGTAAAAGCACAGCACTATCTGGAAGTGCAGAGATCCAGCGTTTCTGAATTACTTAAGACACTTTCCACCATTTTCACCAGTCCTGAAGCCATCAAGACCATAAATCTGTCAGGGAAGCAACAGAATGCTACAGTAACTACTGAAACCCCCAAATAATGTGTATCTAGGAAGGCTGCATTTAGAGGCCACAGGTTCCACAAAACGGTAAGCTGAGAAAAATACTTTTCCCCTGCTGCATTACATGGTCCTTTGAAAGGGATAAAATCTCACATTTGTAACAGATGCTTTATTTGCCCTCAAACAACGTTGCTGCAGGTGGGATGAAAGAAAGGAAGGCATAAAAGATGACTTACTTGGATACTCCTGCCTGGTCCAAAACAACTTTTCCACCTCTACATGATGGATAAACTTTAACAAAAAATTCATATAACATGCCATCATCCACATCAGGAGTCAGGTCTCCCACAAAAAGGGAATATTCTGGACTAAAGAAATCAAAAGAAAACTTCTTAAGCATAATCACAGAGAAAGTGTGCTGAGTGACAGCTAACATTTACCCCAAACGTTTGACTTCAGACAGCAGTAACACTAAAGGATCATTTAATGGATACTTTAAAGCACCTCCAGTTAAATTGCTTAGGTTACTGAAATGAAGGTAATTTTTGTTTTCTGTTTTCATTGCTTTTCCTATTAGTTCAAGCTGCCATACCAATCTGTTTGATATTGCTTTTTATTTAAAGATATTTCTTTTTTTATTTCTTACAGGATACTGAACATGGCACCGTACCTGTATTTCAAATGTTGCAAGAAATATTTCTCAAATTAAATTAGTTGAATTGATTTTAAAAATATATTTCTCTTAGGCAAAGTTTAATAGCGCTATATTTAGAAATAAATGTGAAACTTAAATACTTTGACAGCATCTCCATATGTGGAATGCTCTGAATTTACAAAGAAGCAGTGTCTGCTGTCTGGTATCTCATTTATAGATTTGGTATCTGCAATATAGTTATCTTAGAAGATATTATAAGAATTAGATACTCCGATGCTAGAAATTTTGAATATCTTAAAACACACTCCTGCCTCAAATCTGCTGTGCCATATAAAAAAAAAGCATAAGAGTGACAGAAGGTCTAAATTCTTCTCCCAGCTCCACCGCAGCTCATGGGGAAATGGGAAGGGTTTGGTTACCATCACAGGGCACAGCTTGCTGAAAGAATGAGCTACCAGGAAACCAAAACCCTCCACTGTCCTTCACATTGGCCTGTCCGTCATGCCTTGATTCTAATCTAAAAAGCAGTCTTCTGTTTTTTGAAAAAGTTTCACAAAAGAATCACCTAAAATAGAAGGGTAATTGTTGAGATATGACTAACCCTGCTCTAACAAATTGCAGGGCTTGTTGCCTCCAGCCTCCTCGTGTTATTACTGAACTGTGCAAGCGTTTTGGGGCAGGGTTAGGAGAGGCATTTGCACCACCCGGGCGCTCCATTTAGCCACTGTCTCCTCACGCACCTTTCACTGTCAGGAGCAAAACCTGGGCATTTCCAGAGGCCGATCAGAGCACCCCTCTGTGCTGCCTGCCGTGTGCTCCAGCCAGGAAAGGTGCGTGGGGTGAACCCACGGGGCCAAACACACCCATGGTGTCACCCAGTATCATGGCTGGATGCATCTCCACGAGCTCAGAAAGGGCTAAAAAGATCTACAGCAACACAAGCACCTACACCGTGCTCCACGGCAATTTACCTGATGTGTTTTCTTAAATCTGGGATTATTTGGCACTGCTAGACAAACTGGCACATGCTGGAGCTGCGTGTGTCTCCTAAAAGCTCTCCTGTCTCAATGTGCTGGCTGCAGGGCTCATCCAGCCATGATGCACTTGTGGGTTTGCACATTTGGAATACTCTTGGCAAGGCAGTTGATAAACAGACATTAAACAGGCAAAACTAATATTTCAATATTAAGCGTTTACCTGTTATCAGGCTGTTTTCCATACGTTGCATAATTCAATTTAAATCGCTTTGCCTGAAACAAGGCAAAAATGAATCCATATATTCAAACAGTCTCATGTGAATCTAAGCAGTTAGGAAAAAAAATATACTGAGCTTATTTAACACAAATATCTTAATATTTACAGATTCCAATGCTGTCAGGCCAGGCAGTAAAGTAAACAAGGACAACATTTTTATCGGTTGTATCTTCAGTAGAGCTACAACAATGAAAAGTAGCTCAGAACCTGCACCAATAGGTTTGGACTCTACTTCAACAGTCTATAAGGCTAGGGAGACAGGTGAATCTTAAGAGCATTAAAGTTCTACACTTTTAAGAAGTGAGGTTCTAATCAGTAATACTAAATGACTTCTCTGAATTTTAAAGTCTTTAAATGAATGGTAGAACACGCACTTGGACACTTGTGATTTACAAGAGCACTGAATACTTTGTGCTGGATGACACACTCATCTGGTCACATCCTCAAAAATGAAGTTTATGTCTCTCAACGGGACTTTTGGCATAATTAGGATCTCAAATTAGTATTCCCAGAAGACTAACTTTCCTGTCGCTTGACACTGATGCCTCCCTGAACTTTGCACCTCATTTTTCACAAGCTGCCCAAGAGCCCAGACTTGTGCTACTGGCACTAGCTCCTGTCTAAGTCTGCTCGGGACCAAAGCAGCAACTCATCTCTGCATCAAAATCCCGAGGTTCTCAATCCCACAGGTATTTCATAACACACAGTGCCCCAAGCAGCCTCCCTGCCAAGCTCTGTTTTCTTCTAAAACATGACAGGAGGAAGAAAAGGGTTACTCCCTTTTACAAGAACACCCTCCTCAGCATTCTGCCCGTGGAAGCCCTGAACTGGATTCCCTGCTCAGTTTGGAGTTCTCCAAACCCACACTTCTCCCTCTCCCCCTAGGCTGTCCAAAGCAAACCTTCCTCTGTGTTACGTAGTGACAAAGCACTGAAGAATTCAAGAGAAATTAGGCCAAAGAAAGCAAGACCACAGCAAGTCCATAACCTAGAGATGAGGAATTTCCTTACTACAGTGGATGAGAAGACTTTCCTCCCTCAGTGACAGCACAAATAATTCTTGGGAAACAAAGCCTTAAGTCTAGACTATAACCATGCTCCTTGCATGCCTGCATTCAGTGCTTTGCAACCATTTACAAACTTAGTCGCCTAACACAAGTTTCTGGATTCAGCTTTGAAGCACACACATCTTTTACTGGATCTGGGTTTTTTTTCACTGCAATATTCTGAATTTAAAATCAGTGAGAGAACAGCATTTCTGCTCATATGAGTGCTGGGACGCTACTGCTGTAAAAGAGAGTCAGTAACATCACCACAACTCTGTCCTCCCTGTTGCTGATTCAGTATTCAAAAATAAAGAGTGAGCCATATCCAGTTTTCTGCAAGCAAGAGAGAAGTATCTGAACGTAAGGGATGACCCAGACAACGTCCTGCTGAGTGCACTAGTTCATGGTGGCTCCATGCATCATGTAGAACAGCTCTTTACACAATCTAGAATTTTGAATTCAGCTGTGGATAAAGGCAGCTATTCCCCCAAACTAACTGCAGTGAATACAGCATCCCTGCTGCTCTCTCTCCTGCGTGACTACAGAAGGCACCTAAGGAGGGCAGTTTCTCTTAACAGTGGTCTCTGACTTGCAGTATAAGGTCATATTAAACTGAAAGGGTAATGCAAATGCCAGGCAAATGCCCCCACGCCTCTTATCTGCCCCTTTGCGGGGCATGGAGGATGCCACTCTGGTGGGAAAGGTGACTGCACAGCTCACGGAGCAACCCCTGAGCCCCCCGTTTCCAGCCCAGCGTATTAAGCACCCCAAAAGCAGGGGTCTTTTCCCTCACATGTCCCACTATCCCCAAGGTCATTCTGGCCCCACTCAGTCACCCCATCCACTGCAGTCAATGTGCACAATGCACAGCTGTGTCAGCTGTCCCAGTTTAATCTGCTACACATTCAAATCAACACCCTAAAATTAGCCTCTATGACTATCCCTTCTTTTATTCCCATGTGTTTTTAGGTATTTAAGAGCATCTCTCACGTACTGGCAGTTGCACAATGGGCTGCTTCCACTCTAAGTGGGCTTGAATAACTTGTTTGCTAAAGACTAAGAATAATCCAAAGCTTCAGGTCAAGCTTCTCTTGAAAATCCAAGTCACTCAAAGCCCAGTAGGAACTTACATCAGCTTCATCTTGTACTTATATCCTCACATACAATCCATAATCAATTAATATGGAACTAGCAGTGAAGCAAGATGGACTGTAATGGGTATATTCAAGCTATTTTTTTCCTCGTTTTTGTCTCATTTCTCATAATTTCCACTTCAGTAAAAGCAGAAAGATTGAGAAATACTTTACATCTGTATCTGGATTTCATCTGTACATTCACATTGAAATTAATACTTTTTTAACAATTAACAATACTCTGAGGAAAATCATTAATAGTTTCGTGCCCATTAACTTAACTCTAAGGAAAACAAGAATTTCAGTTTGCTACCTAGTCAACTTGGTTTTAATCATTATGCAAAATATGGACTTCACTTTATCTACCCCTTCCCAATTTGGTTTCTTTAGAGGGTGATCTGATGGACTTACCGGTGTAGCACCAGGAAGAGGCTTTCCGTTGATTTTGTGTAAACATTTTTCTGCAGTAGCTAGATCTGCAAATTCTACAAAGCAATAGCCTGCTGGAATTCTGAACACAGAGACAAGGGAGGAGAGAGAAGGATTTCAGATTTAAAACACATTTGAGAACAACTATTCCATTTTTAGATAAATGTTAGGAAATTTTCTACAGTAGCGACATTTATAACAAATTATTTTTCAAAGTATAAACATCAGCTTATAAAAAGAAGCTAGCAGAGTAATCTTTGATCTCCACTGAAGTGATAACCCCTACTTACCAATAAGTTATGTCAACATAAGAACACAGAAGATACTTCTGCTCACAAATACATTAATTCTCCATTTCATTAAACAGACATTTTCCCACCCAAATTTTAAAAGTTGAAAGTTGCAACTACAGCACTTTTAGGAACAGGAAACTACTTTACGCTGCATATAGTCACTCACTTTATTCCCAATGAACTCAAAAGACATGGCTCTTGTTAAGTTAGACACTCCAGCTCCGCCAACATCGCGCGGTTGCACAAGGCAACCATTAACAGCGACTCGTCCCTGGAGCCCTCTCTCCAGGACGTGTCATTCCCAGGTGGATCGTATGCCATACACATGCCAGTCGGGAGCACTGCAGGATGAGGGCCAAACCTTGGAGAGGGAGAGGTTGAAGAGCCAGCAACTGTCCTTTCCATTGCTATCATCAATATACCTATATTGTTGGCAGCAATGATGAAAAGCTCAAAAAGAAAATCATTCTAATACAGACAGGAGCACAAAGACGGGCAAAAGGAACGACCCAAATGCAAGGCCACACTGGTTAGAATGAGCTCAGAACAAACTTAAACAGTTACCCTGTCAACCTGTTTCGAATGATTTTTACACTCAGTACAAGCTCTCCCATGGTAGCAAAGGCTCTCGAAACAAAGTTTTCATCCATATAGGGCTCCAGCTACAAAAGCAAAAAAAAAAAAGTTAGACTTGGGCAACTACAAAAAGGAGAATATATGTGTCAATGTCACCCTAAGCAGTTAAAACATTATTGAGAAGGATTTTACCCTTACACTTCAAAAAGAAGACTCATTTAAGAGGGTCGATGCCACTCAAAACCAGCAGGCATGCATGAACCAGGCTCAACAGTCTGCAAAGTGGAACCCAAGAGACAGCATGAATTTCAGAGAACAGGGAGCTTTCACAGAAGGACAAAAGCCACTCAGAGACAAACAGCACCGAACTGAGCGCCACTACACAGAGCAGGGGCGAGAGCCGAGGGGGCTCAGCAGGGCTCAGCCCGGGGCGGCGCGGGAAGGGGGCGCCTGTCACCACGACCCACAGTCCGTCAGCGGGCGGTCGAGCGCGTCGTGGTGCCCGGTGTGCCCGGTGGAGGGGACACCGCGCGCGGCAGGGCACGTGGAGCGCAGGGCAGCGCGCTGTGGTTCCTGGGCTGAAAAGTGGACTAAAGCGCTGCAACTTGGACCAAAGTGATAATGAAGTCACCGAGGGAAAAAGGAGGCAATAAAAAGCAAAGGGTGGCACGAACTGAAATTAAGCTCAGTTGCAATGCACGGAGCGATGGGCAGCACTGTGTCTACGTGGCCGGCAAAGCAAGGCTGGGTGGCCGTGTTTGCAAGTGAGAAAAGGGACGAACGAGGGGTAGGGAGCAGGTGAAGAGGTGTGCGGGGAACAGGAACAGCTCCACGCGCGTGTATATGTACATGTGTGTGACCGGCAGCAGGTAGGAGAGATGCCCTGTGATAACTGACAGCCCCCAGTGTGTCAGAGGATGTAGAGCAGCAGCACATATATTCATCTGAGCTCAGGTGACCGTTTTGCACAAGTAAGTGCAAAAGGCGCGAGTGTAGAACAGAAACGCTCCTGCCTTTGGCGATGTGCAACGGGCAGCAGGTGGCCCTGCTCTGTGCAGACGTGTCACGCGCAGGGTGGCCCCCGAGGCCGAGGGTGGTCCTGTGCTCCGCGGCGGCCGCAGAGGGCAGAGAGCCCGGTGCGAGCGTGCAGGCAGCAGGGGATGCTCCGGGGAGCGTCGCTGCACGGGCATCCCTGGGCTGGCAGCGAAAGAGCCTGGCGCACGCGGCTGTGCCCTGGGTGCTGCGGGGTGCATGGGTGCCTCCTGCGAGCGCACCCACGGGCGGGAGGCTCCTGCACGGGGACCTGAGTGCGAGCCTGGGGTGCAGGTGCCGCCGGCTGCGGCCGGGGGCGCGGGCGGC